GTTCCCCTTCCACCAATCTTCACTAGAAACCAATGGAAAAACCGATCGCCTTTGCCACATACTGTTATTATTTCCCTGACTTCTTTTCCCAAGATTCCCACCGTGAACTCCATCCCTGAATTCATTACACATTGTAGGCAATTGATTCACCGATATATTACCATCGTTGTTACATAGACTTAGCTGACTTTCACGGCACATATTATCTTGACCATCATCATCAAAACAATACATATCTTCTTTGCTTAAGCAATCCCTCACTAAATCCTCTAAACAAAACACATCGGTTCTAAAGAATTCATCATCTTTCCCTTCGATTCTCTTTCTCATGGACTTAGCTTCCATTAAACCAAGCAAAGTCCCTGAATGTTTCACAACATTCTTCACAGTAACATCTTTCCACCAAGGCAAACCAACCTCTTGAGCAACCTTCACAAGCTTCGCCAACAACTCTCTATACCGCGTTTTACAAGTAGTCAACGGAACCCGAGCATCTTTCGCTAAATCATCAATCTTTATCTTGACACCATTCACTTGAACAACGAAAGCCAAAACCGCCACAACCAAAGGCATTGGCTTCCTCCCCGTCGACAAAAACCACTTCAACGAACAATTCATCAGAAACACACCTTGCTTCGTTATCTTCTCCTTCTTTTCGCAATCAACATCACTCAACCTCGACGAATTACTCGCCGTCTTTGTGAACAAACCCACAAGATCAAACTCTTGAAACTCTAACCCTAAATGATCCACAACACGCTTAATCATACTCCCTAACTGATGCAAATCACATCCAACAGAAACAGCAATCTCTTCAATAGGCAAAACACACTTCCCTTCTCCCCTCACCACTGCATAACAACAAGCACCAATCAAAATCGAAAACCACTCACCTTGTCCGAATTCCCCATCGGTTATTTCATTGATCATACTCTTAATCTCTTCATATTTATAACCCAGATTCAATCTCTCTGTGATTGATTCAATCAGATTCTTAGCTTCGTAGATCTTCTTCTCTTTATAAGCAAGAACAGAGCCAGTACCAATGGTTCCAACTCGTACATATGTACCTTCAGGTCCTCTAATCCCACCGAGATTAGCTTCGTAGTTTTCGTACTCTTGGAATTCACCACATCCAACGCAATACGAATTCCCTGTGACTTCTTCGCGTTGAATGTTGTTGCCATTGCATCTCTTGCAACGCATGACTGAAATTGAAAAAGGTCTCCAACTTTCAATTAGGGTTTTTTTCTCCGGGGGCAGAAGAAGAAGAAGAATTGGTCTTAAAGCCGGTACAGACAACGGCGAGATTCGGGATCGCCGGTGAATCGACGGCGATTATACAAAGTTCTCAAAGATGATTAAGCTGAATTAGGTTTTATAGTTTTTACGAGATTGCAAAAACGGCAAGACGTTAGTGTAATTTAAAATAAAACGGCAGGGCGTTAACATCTAGAGTAATATCTACACGGTTCGGTTTTTTTTTTTTTAATAGATTTTCGGTTTATTAGTAAAATCTATTTGGTATGGTACGGTTTTTGTTCGATTTGATTTGGGTTTTAAAGTTAAATCTAGAGAAATTGGCATATATAACCTAAAAAATAACTATGATACATAAACTAACCAAATTCCTCTAATATTTTACTAAATTGTGAATTATAATTTTTTGTATTTTATTATTGTTGCAAATGGCCCTTAAATCTTTCGCATTTTCAACAAAAAATCGGTTTTCTTGTTCGGATTCAGATTCGGTTTGGCTATAGTTCGGATTTAGATTCGGTTTATCATTTGAGATCAGTTTTCGATTCAGCTTAGATCGGATTAGACCGGTTTATTCAAGATTAAACACTTCTTCAAGTTTCGG